AAAACTAATGAATTAGAATTTTTTTCAATAAAAAATGACAGTCATTTTTCTGACTTACAGTGATTCATATGTTTTGACTGTTTAGGGATGGTTGTCTGAGTGTTAAATGAGTGTGTGGATAGGTATCTTTTCAGGGAACTTTTAATATCTCTTCTACACTTAATGAAAGCCATATACTTCACAAATGAATTTACTTCACTTTTTTTAAGGAGGCCAAAATGTACCTTACATCAGCATGTACATATATGTAGAATACTACACGCATCATCATGATGTCAGCAACAACATCACATCTAAGTGGTCTAAGAATGCTCAAAAACTGATGATGTCATTGAATCTTGATTAGGGGAAATCCAAAATGAAGAGCCACAAGCTGAGGAAGAGGAAAATCAAGAAGAACAGAAGGAGGGAGAAGAAAGTAAGGATTCCTACACCAACATCGTTTCACAACACTACAGACACCATATTCCAAATTTTAAATAAAGCATTGTTTATCTGTCACAGGATTATGATATTCCACACATTTTACTCAACTGTTTTGTGAACAATCTGCATCCTTTAACATCCATATCAATGTAATTCAATCTCAAAATAAAAATGGTTTTGTATTATAATTTTTTCCCCAGAAGAGCAAGAAACACAGCCAGAAGCTGAGACTGAAGATGGTGAAGATAATGAGAATGCCATTGGTCAGCATACTTTCTTCTAGTTTAACACAGTGACTGCAATTTCTCAACTTTTCTTTTGTTATAATGTCTATTATTTTTTTGCAGTGGAATGTTATTAACGGATAATTAACTAACGAACGTTTAATTATCTAAAACAGAGGAAGATGATGCTCCAACAGAAGAAGCTCCATCTGTAGAGGTGGGAGAAGAATCGGATGATAATCTGCAGGAGGAAGAGGGTACAGAGCACTTGTCAATCATGCATGTATTTCAGATGAGGATAAGGGCTTCCTGATGCATGGACATAACTGTGCCTGCACTAAAGAAACATTTTTAATGAGATTTATGGATAGCAACTCTACTAACCACTACTCCATTCCATTGTAAATACAAGTACTTAATAGTGGTACTTTTCTTATGTATGGGAATTTTTTTTTTCTTTCCAGAAAATTGAGTTAACTTTGGGTAGGAATACACTCCTTAATACTACTGTAACAGTGACAGTCTAACACCCTATATTTGCATCTGTGACTAAAATAACTGCTCATTTTTTTCTAGGAAATTGATTATCAAACAGTTTCATATGAATCTGCATGATTCCAGTACATGTACTATCTACTAATAGGCTACTGCAATATTAATCACAGGCACAGGAAGACCTAAGGTCTAACCATCAATTTTTGTAAAAAAAAGCACTGTTCTAAGAGTTATTATGTTCTGACTAATTTTACACTTTTCTGTTCATCTTGCCAAAGGTGGTTCAGACTCTGAAGAGCCAGCTGCTGTAGAGGAAGCTGGGGAGAAAACTGATGGGGAGGAAAATGAGGGGGAGGAAAATGAGGGGGAGGAAAATGAGGGGGAGGAGGAGGATGCAGATGATGACAGTAAGTCAGCTTATTATGTTAACCTTCGCAGAGGGAAAATGTGTTATTTATGTTTACCAGAGGAAAACCTATTGTTTTTGCTCTGTTTCCTCTTCTTCTCCAAACCAATAAGGTCAATGACCTGAACCAGATGTCTGTCACCATGGTAACTGGTGTTGGGTTACATCATGTTGCAATTTCAAATGAATAAGGTCAATGACCTGAACCAAAGAGCTATCACCTCGTTAACTCTTGTTTGATATCTTTTTATCATAGATGATGTTCAAGAAGAAGAAAATGAAGAAGAAACTACAGAAGATGAAGATGAAGATGAAGAAGAAGGAGAAATTGATCCTGAAGAAAGTTTCAGACGTAAGGAAGACCAAGACCCTTCCTCGTAGTATCTTCTCATGCCATTGCTGCTGCAGCAAGTTTATTGCTTCATCCCGTAGGCCACCCCTATGTTTGACATGGAACAGTCTAGTATCCAGGAAAAAATGGTCTACATGGATCATTCCATTTCATATGGAGGGGTGCAAAGTGTGAGGCAATAACTTAGATGTTTTGAATTCTTTGATAAACATTCTTTGGAAAATCAGTGAAAAGTAAGGAAAAAGTTTCTGCTGAGCAGACATTTTGAACATCGTGAATGCAATTCTGTCTGGTTTTTAATTTCTTGTGCAATTTTGCACCTTTACAAGTTGGGAGGTGACAGTCACTCTTTTGGAGTCATTTTCTAAGCAGGCTAAAGGATATTCAAGAAATGAAATTATCATTAAATTCATTAAATTTGTGCTCAGATGGGTTTTGTAATCTTAGAATGCCTTTTAGCTTTTAGGTATTATATTCAAAGTGAAACAAAGCTATATAAAATCTTAGAACTTGTGAAAAGGTAGTGGTTACTTCTCATAGTTTTAAACGCACAAATGTATTTCATTTTATTCTCTTTACTAATAATACCAGCAGTGTTGAGTAGTTTACGCACAAGTATGCCATAATGCTGCAAACGCACACTAACAATATCATACTCATGCTGCTACATTTTGTATTTACCACTAATATGCAATAACCACTGTATTACTACATTTAATGTGCCATATATTTTTCATTTATATGTTGTGTAACAACATAGACTAGCAATCGTTTGTAACTAACATCTTTTGTATCTTACATTTTGTTATTATACCATTTATGAATATGATTTTAGTTTGGAATATTTCATACTTTTTATACAGTCTTAATTGTTTACCACTGAATGTATCACTTTTATAACTTTTGTATAATCATTGTCTGATAACCCACATATCATACTCATACCTATCTCATATAATTTTGTTTTAGTAAAGGTTTTTATACTCCTTACATTGGATGTGTGGTAAAGTTCTCTTGCATGTTTTCATTGCAACATGCATGATCAAAGTTGACAATCGTTAATACATTGTAGTGCAAAAAAAATGATGTACATATTCTGTCATCAAAAAAAAAAGTTTTAACAACTTGATGTCAGCAATGCTACATTAAAGGGGCATTAAAAAATGAAGTGCAGCTATTTTTTAAAGGCTTTTTTACTGTTTTTTTCCCTACAAATTTGAGAAAAAAATTGCCCTTTTGTTTATTATACTCCTATGTAGTCATATTAGATGCCCAATAGTTATATTTCTGTTGTGTCTTTGCACTTATTGGCAAATTCCAGTAGATATTGATAGGAAATAGAAGGGGGAGGGCAGGGCATTTCATGGCTTTTGTATTGAGATACACATACACGCCCCCCCCCCAAAAAAAAATTAAATTACTGATATTTTAGGTCTAAAATTTGTTGAGATATAGAAGATATATAATTGTAATAGATAGCAGGCATATTTGTTAGTTGTAGCTACTTGAATTTAAGTGTTGAGTCAAGGAAATCTTTAAGAACTCAATACAGAATGGTATGCTGCATTGAAAGGTGCAGCAAAGAAGTGGGTGCATTAAATTTTGGTCAGTAGTATTTTGTGACATTTGATGACAGAATATTAGACTATTGTGTAGCTTATAGTTTCTTTTACTTGTGGATTGGTCTGGTCTGGAAGTTGTATTCTCTGATTTATACATTTTTGTAATTTTACTCTTCTATATTCTACTGGTCTTTTGAAATTTTGTCTGTATTAATTTGGGGTACTATATTTGATCGAATTTGTAATATTTTAAGTGTCTGTTTTGTTTCTTTCTGTAACTTCTCAGTAATAAAGTCTTGGTGCCATAATTCATTTGATAACTTGTCCGTCTGAATTATTTTCGCTCATAATTTGGTAGAATTTCAACATACTTTCCAGGCCAGATCAAGCACACACAACAAACAAAAAGAAAGTAGACATAACTTCAACACTTATACATGTATGTACATTGTAGTAGCCTCTCAAATACTTGTCTATGTAAGTGCATGGTTCACTGTATACATATTAAGATTCCAATCGGACAGGTAGCTAATATAAGATGCACATTTCTACCGCTTTAAAGATCTTTAAACATATATACTGTACATGTATTTAAGAGATTATAAATCAAATCGGCTCCCCCTAGTGCTACTTCTGGTACTGCAGGACGGTGATGGCACAAAAGCGCCATCTGTTGTTGCCATCCAGTATGACAAGCTAAGATTTTTACAATACATTTTGCAAGTGCCATCTTTCCTCCAACAGGAGTACTGCATGCGGGTTTTTTCAAAGTCAAGCATGTTTTTGTGTTTGGACAAAATCACCACCGAATGGTGTACCACAACAGTTATATACATGCATGCATCTCAAACAAAGAACAGCCTCAAGTTTCAAGCCAATCAGGACACTAACCACCAGGACAAGACTCAAGCCTATGACCTTAGGATTCAAAAGTTGGATTGTTAACCACTTAACCAAGGAATGCTGCTTGCATTTTGGCTTGCGACCAACCAGTAGCCTGACTTCTAGTCTTTGATGGAGAACTGAAAAAAAAAAAACTGAACTGATTTTTGTATCATTTGCATAACTGCCTTTTGCTGTCTTCTTCTTTTCTCATCTTATTGTTCTCTCTTACCCTCACATGTACACATACATCTAACTGTGTTGTCTGTCATACTGACATCATTGACTTAATTTTTTTGAAAATAAGACTTTTATCCATAATAGACTATTGCAGTGGTTGGAGGGATATAAATTAGACTTAACAGTTACATGTTTATGTGTGACACAATTTGTTTCATGTGGGAATGAGTGACTTGAATAATACCTTGCATGTTAGATGGTTTTTGCATGCCACTTTGTACACAGATAAGCAGGTAAAAAAAAGTCACTAACAAAAGCTAGTGGATACTAGCTGAAACGTCTGACCGTTTCCAAAATCATATCCAGTTGCTTGAGTAACTGCTTTTTGGTGTATCTTATTACCTGGATGTCTAACCTTCATCAACAGGTCTAAAACACCTTACTAATGCATGGTTTGATGCTTACTCAAACAGGGAAGGTGAAGAAAGTGAAGGAAAGCATGGCGAAGTCAAAAAAGAAGGACTCCATCACCAGCGCTGAGGATAAGAAGATACGGAAGGAGCTCGATGCAGCCGACAAACTTGTGGATGATGTAAGAATTTCAATCTAGGAATCCTGGCCTGGAGCAGGCATCATAGGCAGCTGGAAAGAGTAGAAATTGCCCAAATAGACAGATAACATGCCGGGGGAGTCGGACCATAAGGGCAGCAAACTACTCTGTTTGCAGACTAACTCCTCTGGCATGTTATCTGACTAGTTGGCCAATTTCTACTCTTTCTTAGACAAGCTGCTTCTGAAGCCTGGTAGAGTCTACAAGAATACAAACCCTGTTCTAGCTCAGGCTTGCTCTATGCAGAACAACCTCACCCTTTGTCCATATTTCCTAGCAGTCACTATATAGCAAATTAATATATGTGAATATTGCTCAAAAGCAGAGTAAACTGAAAGCTGTGTAAACTTTCAGGTCAACTTTCCGAATGCTTGCAGGAACCTAATCTCGAAGCAGATCCTATAAAGACAGTATCAGAGAGGGTCTATATGCCCTCCAAGACCCTCTTTGGCCAATGGATACTGCCTGGCCAACTTGGTTGTGTAAAATGAGTCTCTTTACTCAGTGTCTTACCAATCTGATGAAACTATTCACGGAATATCTTTCCCTTCCAGGGTGACTATGACACAGCCCTGAAGAAGTTTGACGCCCTGCTGGACATTTTCCCCAACAGCCCGCGAGCGCTGTACGGCCGAGCTCAGGCCGAGGACAAGGTGGCCGAGAAGTGGAAGAGCAACGAGTGGCTGCAAACTTGCATCGACACCTACGGCAAGGTAAAGGCCTGGTTAGATATATCCAGCACATTGAAAAACAATCACAGTGTGTTTGAGAGATCACCAAAATGGTGAACACAAGACATGCAGTCAAGTTGACTTTATGAAAAAGATAATGTAACGTTACATTTACAACTAATTTATCAACTTTTATTTGAAATTAATTTCCTCTTCCCTTTCAGGTACCATCACAGAAGAACTGTCCCAAAGAGCTGAAGAAACAGGCACTAATGCGGCAGGCCAATCGCCTCTCCTTTTACGGTAAGGCCTTGACGAGGTTTCATGTTAGCCTCTACCAGGCATCAGAAGTGGCTAGAAAGAGTAGAAATCGGCCAAATAGTCTATATAATAGAGTGACATATACACCTAACATGCCAGGGGAGTTAGTCTAGCCTCTTCCGGGCTTCAGAAATGGCTGGAAAGAGTACTAGTAGAAAATGGCCAAATAGACAAACATGCCAGGGGAGTTGCAACTTAAATACTGTCCTACTTTAGCATACCAACTCCCCCAGAATTTTATGTCAATTTGGTCAGTTGCTACTCTTTCCAGCTACTTCTGAAGCACCTCTGTGCCTTTTCTGCCAATGTGTTTTTTATTGTGTGAGAAACAATAAGAACGAAAGTGATAATTTAAAGTTTTATTATACATTTCTATTTGCTGTTGTTTTGCAGGAAAGCTGCGTCAGGCAGTAAAAGCCATGGGCCGTCTGAACGAGCTTGTCCCGGGAGAACCGGAGATCCTCAACCAACTGGGAGTGTCATATCTCATGGTGGGGAACAACAACGCTGCCAAGAGGGTGTTCGGGGAGGTAGGATCACGTGCAATTTTAGCCTGGTATTCATCCTACTCTAACTTCTTTCACTCCTTTGCTTACTTACGTACAGGAAAATCTACATGTAGCACTTGTTATGAGAGAAGTGATTTCAGAACGGAAGGAAATGTTTGCTTTCTACTTTTGCTCTGTTCATATGTATGTTTCCTCCTCCTCCTTCTTTTTCTTCAAACCAATGAGGTCAATGACCTGAACCAAATGTCTGTCACCATGGTAACTAGTGTTGGGTAACATCAAGTTGCAATTTTATAGCAGGAGGGATTTAGACTCCTGTCACCATATTAAAGTAATACTCACTGTGTTTGAGTAAGGAATAGACAATTTGCAAGGTAAATATTATGCATAAATTTTGCTTTGCAAATGTTACCTTTCTAGTTTACACACTTGTTTTCCTTCTGTGCAGGTGATGCAGATTCGCCCAGAAGACGGTTTTGCCCAGGTGCATCTGGGCTTCATCCTGAAGTCAGAGACTCGGTACGACGAGGCGATACCGTTACTGAGGGAGGGGATCCAGACAGGGGAGGAGGGGACCATCGATGGGAGGTTCTTCTTCCACCTCGGGGACGCCCTGTACAGGACAGGACAGCCAGAGGAGGTTTGTATCATTTTATTTATGTCATACCCACCCAAGAAAACATGCCTTTCAATGCAAAATAAGCCCAAGTTTGGTGTCCCTAAACTAAAAAATGTAACAACATTATTCCAACGTCCGGATTCTGTATTTGAATTTTCAAAAGTGGCGCTTGCAGTTAGGGCAAAATGCGTTCGAATCGTTCTATGGAAGCCATGGAAGCCCGGGCCGTACTTAACACACCAGCTTCTGTATCTGTACAGGACAGGCCAGCCAGAGGAGATTTGAAGAGGACTGATTTTTTGTGGTACTATCTACAGATAGTTTGGGTGTTTTTGGCCCTAGTGATGACCAAATCGGGTTAACCACACTGTTTTAATGCCTGAGCCATGTGGTCTTTTTAGAATAGTGGTGACAGTTAGATAACCGAGAATAGTGTTAGCCCTGGCTATGAAATAAGGTTTTTAAGTCATCCTTTGTTTGGTAAC